TCAAGGTTTAGAGAGAGAAGATAAAATACCTGAGCAGCGGTGACTGACATCGGAAAAACCGTTGCCTTTCAGTGAGAGAGAGAGAGAGAGAGAGAGAGAGAGAGAGAGAGAAAGAGAAACCCCAGATTCAAAAGAGAAACCCCAGATCTAGAAACCCCCAATTATCCCCAATTTATCAAGATCTATAAAAGAAATTAAAAAAATAAAATTAATCCCAAACAGGATTCCGCTCCACCATTTCACATTATCCACTTCATCGAATTCAAAAAAAAAAAGAAAAAAAAAAAAAAAGAAACCTCCCCCACCGACTGCGTACAACCACCCTAGCCGCTCGTACAACTGATAAATAATCTCAGCCGGGAAGCAATGGGGATGAGATTTTATGGTGTTCGATTTTCTGTATACTGATTTTCTAGGTTGGATAGTGTTGTGTGTGTGCGCGAGTGTGTGTGTGTACCTACACTTATATATATATATATAGACTGTTTTACAAACATATAAAAACCAGTGGTTTTTCAGCTGCCCTTTTTGGTAGTATTTGTACGTGTGTGTGAAAGTGTGTGTAATGCAACCCAAAGAGGAGAAATGCGTATACCTTTTTTGTATTATTTGTGCCTCTATATTTTCTTTTTAACCTTTTATTTATTTAATTATTTTATTTTATTGTCTTTTAAAATTGTTGGTGTGGAGGTTAAAATTGGAAATATATGTAATTAATTGAGGAGAAATTTTTTTTTTTTTTGCAAGAGTGTTTTGGGTAATTTTCGTTAAATATATTATATTGGCTTCGTCGAGCAGCCCGAAAAGTTTCCGACCATAATTAATGGGTTTATTGGGCAGATCATACGATTGTATGTCATAGGTTACACTTATTTTCTAGTTATGGGTGGACGAATTATTTTGATTTTTATTAATAACTCCGATTGTTTCAATTGTAGTAGAATTATTATTTTATTTTAATAAGATAGTTAATAATATATAAATCTACATGTGTATGGAAAATAAAACAAATTGTGGAGTTTAATAAATGTCTTTATAGAACATAAATTTTTAAATCCAATTCTTATTATATGGAACCTCAATTGAATTTTCTTTTAAAAATTTAGCAATATAAATAATTAAAATATTCAAGAGTAAAGTAAACTACACAAAAAGAAAATATATACATTATATTGAAAATTAGTGTTAAATTTGGAATATAAAAATTGGCCAACACGACAGGGTTTTATTATTAAGTATATATATATATTTATTAACACAAGGGTTTTAGTCCAAACACAACGCAGAGACTCGCACACACCACCAACAATGGCTTCTCTCCGACTCCCTTCTTTGAAGAAATCCGGCGGCGACGACGGCGGGATCCTATCTCGTCTATCCGATTACCCGATCGTGAAGAAGGGGAAGAGCACCGCCTGCGATGCGGCGTACGTGGCCAAGCGCCTCCTGAAGAGCACCGGCAAGGCGGCCTGGATCGCCGCCACCACCTTCATCGTGCTTGGTATTCCGCTCATCATTGAAATGGATCGGGAAGCACAGTTCAACGAAGTCGAGCTGCAGCAAGCCTCTCTCCTCGGCGGCGCCGCTCCCGCCCACCCAGGCTACATGTAATGATGTTTTGATCCGTTAATTTTTTTTATGATTCTGATATGGTTTGCCCGGCTAATTGACGATCGATTCCAATTTTTTTAGTTTTTTACATTTTCCTAAATTTTTAGGGTTCAGTATGAGATTTGAATTCAGTGATGATCTGAGTTGTTGCTATTAGGTTTTGTTTGAACAATTAATTCCTATTATTGAGTTACTTTTGCGTGATCTAGATTTGCTTCACAGCCTTTTGATTATTTGTTTGTTAGTTGAAGTAATATTTTTCTTCATTTTGACTTTTTCCGCAGACGGATTAACTTAATTTCGATGGTAATTAGGCAATAGACTGATAATTTGTTATCAATGCCACAGCTTCAGTATATCTTTTGCTTTATTTGTGCGTGTCTCTGCTTTTTCGTGGATGGAAACTGTGAAATACATTACATTAGTGATGATGATTTAACGAAACTCAGATGGTGATCTTTTCTATTTACTGCAAACGAAAAATCGAAAACTTCTTCTGCAGTTGGAAAATGCCAAGTCATCTGATTCTCGTCATCAATATGTTTGCTCGAGATTTAAAAGTGTTTTACTAAATTAAGGTTTAACAATAGATCAGTTATGATTGAAAGACTGTTTCGATGTTGTTTAAGATTCCTTTTTGCTTTTAGTATAACATAGAAATCCTAACTACTCCGCGTTTTATTCGATTGATGTTCGTGCTGCTATTCACTGTTCTGCACATAGCAATATATGTAGTATGAAGGTTTCATATATCGTCGCATAGTATCTGCGTATTTAGAGATTTTAACAGCTAAAAACGTATAGGATTTTTTATATGGTCTCTCTCTTCTTTAAATCATGATTTCTCATACTATTTATGTATTATAGTTTGTAGCAGATTTACATTATCGATTAGTTATATATTTGTTCAAGATCCAAATTGTCGGCTCGTCAAGATTGCTATACGTGTTCACTTTCTCTTCCTCTGTTGTTAAATTTGTTGCACTAGACCGTTTCATAGAGTGTGACGTTGCAGCAGATATACAAAGGTTAGATGCTTAACATCTTTGATTAGCGAATTGTGTATCATGTTAATAATACTTGAAGACATTTTAAACATGTTAAAAAAACGGGTGTAATTGAGTTTGAAGTTCAACAATAGTCTGTTTCTTGTTGCTTAAAACTGTATATCAGTTTTATGCATATTATCGATCTTCTTCTGTGAGATGTTTCGTGTAAGTTTCTTTCCCCATAATTTACTCGGCATAATTTCTTGGAAACGGTTTATTTAAGCCGGAAATACGAGTAATGTTGACAATGAATCAGTTCCGGTTGGTATTTTATGAGCATTCGGAAATAGGGGTGGCAATGTGGATTCGGATCTTACACGATCCTCATGAAACTGATCCATATTGGATCCAATCAAAATTCGATTTGTCTGGATTCGATTGGAATTACAGTCTGGCAATCATCGTAAGGTGTGGATATGCAAATGGATTGAGCATGAATTCACTGCGCATCCACCACTTTTCGTTTTTTTGGATTATACGTTATTTGTCCATTTTTATCCATTTTCATAAGGGTGCTTTAAGTCTTTCATTATTTGGGTTATAGAACGTTATTTGTCCATTTTTATCCATTTTCATAAGGGTGCTTTAAGTCTTTCATTATTTGGGTTATAGCTAGCTACGAGTGCAACTATACTCGTGTTTATGAGTGGAAATCGAGCGGATCAAATCGAAGTTACCACTTTCCGAAAAATGAAAATCCAATTTCGTTTCAAAAAAAAAATTCGGAAAAATGAAAATCGAAAGGAAAAATACTTATTTAAAAAGGAATTTTATTTGGATGAGAACTGACAGTAATCCGAATTTTCATTTTGTTATTCACCTATAATATAAAATACATAATAAAATTGACATCATAAGTGTATTTCCGAATCTCATATGTACACTTCCCCAAAAAGTACAAATAAATAAATAGATAAAAAAAAAAATCGGCCAAATCCGAAACTTCCGTTCCAATTTTCACCCATACCCGTACGTAATTCAGCAAATACATTCGGAAGGAATGGCAACTCAATCAAAATCTACAAGGTGGAGTCTACTCCGACACACATTACCAAGAATCACCACAGCTGCAGCTCCCATTCAAGAATCTATGGTACCTGTGCACATCCCTCACAATAATCTCCCGCTCCGCCACCACACCGATATACTTAAACGCCTCATGACAATCTCTACACATCCTCAAGTTCTTCAAAATCCTCAACGGCTTACCACGTGGCACCACCCCCTTCCAACAACCCGAAAGCCACCGCCAACTTCTCCCCGTGCCACCACAGAAACTCCCTCTTCTCCTTCTCCTCCACCTCGTGCAAAATCTCATCCAACTTCGCCACGTACCCCAATTTCTCAATCTCAACCATCAACTCCTTCACCTTTGCACGAATCTCTTCGTTTCTATAATGCCTTTTGTCACCCGCGAAAAAGACGTGATTTTGCCCCCGCACTTCGATCCAACTCCTCGCCACCTCCTTTTTCACTCCTCTCTCTCTCATCATCTTCCACACTTTCTTCACCTCCTCCCACATTGATGCTCCCGCGTACACGTTAGATAAGATCACGTACGCTGAGTCATCATTCGGTTCGATTTCCCATAGCTTCTCCGCCAAACTCCACGCTGAGTCAGCATTTCCTATGCTCGCGCAGTTAGAGAGTAAAACTCGATATACAGCTGCGTCAGGCTCATAGGGCATTGTGGAAGCTACTTCCTTTGCTTCCTCTAACCTTCCGGATCTTCCCATTGCACCGATCAAACACGTGTAGTGCTCGATCCACGGGTTTAATTTGTAATCCAATTTCATCTTATTCAACCACATTTCGGTTTCGATTGCCATTCCTGCGTTGTAGAATGCAGTTAAAATAGCCAAGAAGGTGTATTCGTCGGGTCTCACACCTCGTTTCTCCATCGAATTAAACAGTTCGATTACGTTTTCTTTGCTCCCTTGTAGAGCATATGCTGCCATCATTGCATTCCACAGAGCTAAATTTGATCCAATCTCAAACTCGTTAAATAATTTCCTCGCCTCTTCCACGAGGCCGCATTTTCCATACCCATCGATCAATGCTGTCGCAACGTAAATATCTAAATCCAATCCGGTTATTACCGCGTGCGCGTGAATAGCCATGCATAGTTCGAGCATGGCTGCTCTGGAAATAGCACATAGTACGCCGGATATGCTGTGAAATGTCGAGGGGATGCTTTGTCTCTTCATTAGGATAAAATAGTGGAGCGAGTCGATAGGCCTTTTATTTTGAGCCAGGCCGTTAATTATGGCGGCGAAACACACCTCGTCTCGATAGGGCATTTCGTCGAACACTTTGCAGGCGGCGTTCCAGTTACCGGACTTTGAGTAGACGGAGATGAAAGCTGAGGCGACGAAAGGGCTGTTGTGCAAGCAGAGCTTGAAAGAGAGGGAATGGAGCTGTGGGCTGAGGGAATGATTGGGCAAGGAGGCGCAGGTTTTGAGCAGAGTGGCGAACGTCCGGGCGTTGGGGAGAGTTCGACGGGGGTGGCGGAGCATGGAGATGAAAAGGCCGACGGCGATTGGGGAGTTCGAGAATGCGGTGATTATGGAAGTCCATGTGACGGTGTTCGGCCGTGGAATGGAGTGGAAGAGTTGCAGGGCGGAGGAGTGGAGATTGGAGTTGGCGTAGACGGTGATAAGGTTGTTGAAGAAAACTCTGTTTTCGCGTGAGGAGGGGTTTATGCCTTTCTTGATGGCTTCCACGTGTACGCAGCGTGGGTCGATGCCTGATTCCGCCATTGTTATTTCTCTGTGAGCTCATTTGCCGATGTGTACTGTCGTTGTCATCGGCTTCCCTCCCCCGCCTTCGCGGCGGCGCAAAACAACTTTATTTGGGTATGGACAAATTACGAAAAATCCACTCTTGTTTGGATAATTATAACCAACCCCCTGAGGTATGGTCAAATTACGAAAAACCCCTCTTGTTTGGATAATTACAACCACCCTTTTCAAATTTAGTGGAATCTTCGAGATTATATGGAATATTATCACTTTTGCACACGTTTTATCCCATTCGAACTCTACATTTTGATGCAAGATGATCATATATAAAAAGTGTTTTTTGGCTAGTATATATCAGATTGTGGTGCATCAGAAACTGTATTTTTACACAAAACGAGTACAAACTAGAGCACACTCCACAAAATCTAGATGATTATGTTGAATTTGACACCATTAGGGTGGAGGTGTAAGAAAAAATCATAGTTGAGGAGGAGGTGGATGTAATTATCCAAACAAGAGGGGGAGTTTGTAAATTGACCATACATCAGAGGTGTTTGTAATTTACCCATATTATTTTTATGTTCTGGTTTGATATATTATATATTTATATATAAAAGTTTAAAAGAAGAAATTTAATTAACTTCTAAAATTTAAATATTCACATAATATAGTATTAATTAACTTCCACGGATTTATCTTTATTTTGCAATTGCCTTTATCCTTTAATTTAATTGGTATAATTTGTAAAATGAGAAAATATTTTTTAAAATAGGCTAGAGAATTAACTTCTAATTCTTAAATCTAAAAACTAAAATTCAATTTCTATTTCTAAATGCGGAAATATTTTTAAAATAAACAAATTAGGGTAGAGAATCATGTTATTATTGAGAATATTTGTTACGAATAGGAAAACAAGAAAGAAACATGGTTCGACCTTCGAACCATAGACTTTCTACGTAAATAATGAAGGTTATGTACTTACTCTTCGATCGAATTTCGTTCACCGGTGTGATGATGCCAGCCTAGTCTTGCTTATTGTTAGTCTTTATTAGCTTCCGCCGGAATCTTGATCGGACGTCGTTCATGCAACACCGGGAGAAGTTTCTCGAAGCATAGAAACTCCAACGATCAAATCAGAAAGAGTGTTTTTAAGTGCATAATATGTGTTTTTTTTAATAAAGAAGCATTACAGAACGAGAGTTGAAGTCCTATTTATAGATAGTTCGTGCATTTAGGTTAAATAAGTTCCAACGAGCTTAAAACAACGACTTTTTGTTTAAGCTCGTGTTTTATATACTTTTTTGGCAGGACTCGGCTACTATCTCTGGGTTCCTCTTCTTAGGCCTTATGCGCAATTAGTCTTATTCGCTTAGACGAGGCCCATCATTCTTTGAGTACAGATTGGTCATAATGTATTAATTTTTTTTTGAGATGATAATGTATTAATTAAAGTTATTCGAGTAACTATATGTATATCTAATATAATTTTATGATTTTAACTTGTATTTTTTTGTTCAAGACCCTCCAAAATTTGTATGATTTAGGAAGATTTGAAAAGGGGTGGCGTTGACTGTCATAAGAGCATCTTTGGAGTGGTCCAATGTAGTACTTGTTTTACAACCTGGACACAGGTTTTTTACACTCCTATGATCTGGATCTTTGTCATTTTTTGACCTAACTTATAATTAATAAATTAAAATATTTTAATACAAACATGCAGAAGAAAATGAGATCTTTTTCCTAAAAAGCATAAATCTTTGAAGTAAAAAGACAAATAATCACATGGCAAAAAGATATAACAAGGCCAAAAATTTCTGCTGCTACTCTCCCATTTTCTCTTTACAACCAAAACCAATACATTATCTTTTTTTTTTTCAAATTAAAATTAATTAAAGATAATTCTTTTTCTTTTTAGTAGTAATAGTAAAAAGACAAGTAATTTTCTTTCTTACCAAAATGGGAGATGCTACATTACATACACATCTCCTATATATTTCTCTCTCAATAATCTGCAGAAAAGTGAAACATTAATGCATGAGATTATTAATTAATTAGAGAAAAGAAAGAAAAAAAAAAGCCAGAGAAGAATAATTAAAGTTTACCATCTTTTTTCTTTGTTAAATTTCTTGCAAAGAGCAAGAAAATGACCAAAAACCCCACTCCTGCTGCCCCTCCTACTATTATAGCCACTGTCTTTCCTGTATTTGACCCTGACCCTATAATTAATTAAATCAAAACACACAAACTTACATTTAATATTTAATTTTTAGATCATCAATAAATCCTGAGATTAAGGACCACCAAATCTAAAGCTAAGACAAATAATCTTGTTTTAAGTGTCGAAATATTGAAAATATACAAATGTAAAACATCTCCTATTTATTTAGCTTCCCCAGATTATTTAATGATATCACAAATCTAAGTTCACAGGTCTCAATAATATGGACAAATTACGGCCGCCCACTGGCTAAGATCAGGTCAAATTACGAGAAAAAAAATCTCTCTTGTTTGGATAATTACATGCATCGTTCAACTGTATATTGTCTTTAAAAAAAACCTCTCTTTAAATAAGTACATTTGACTGCAAAGATGAACGTGTAAGAAAATACATAGTTGAATAGAGTGATTGTAATTACCAAAATATAAAAGAGTTTTTCGTAATTTGACCTTATATCATAGGGTGACCGTAATTTGCCCCAATAATATTATACTAATTCATCTCATAAGCAATTTAAACTAGTCTAATGCATGTTACATCTGGTTTCTCCATCCATGTATTAAAAAAGCTAATAAAGAATACATATAGGCCTCGTTTGGTTGTCTAACTTAAAATTAGCCGATATAACATTAAATAATCTAACGAAAACACAAATATTTAATTAGATTATGTGACGTCCAACAAAAGAGTTCTTTCGAAGGCAAGTAACATAATATTTACGGGACGATCCAACAAGTTATTAAGGATACCAAACATCGAAGAAAGTTCAGTTACTTAGTTATTCATGTTTAATCTTCCCAATCCGACGACTTCTATGCAATACACTAACCTCTCTCCATTAACAATTTGATTCAGTGTTAGAACAATTAATTTGAAATGGAGTAGAGTACCTGAAGAAGTCGATGACGACGAAGACGAAGGAGAAGTAAACGAAGCGGAACCCGATTTCTTCGGTTCGCCGTTCGGATAATATCTATAGCTAATGAAGCACTTGTGGAGATAGATTTGACCGGAAACAGAGCTCCCACATTCCACCTGAGATTTCTGAACTGCATTCTTCACACACTCCACACAGTCGGAGCTTCCCACATCACCTTCGCACTGCCCCAATACATACACCGATTCATAGCTCGTCGCGTAAAACCCGCCTCCGCCGCCGCCTGCGGCGGCGCCGCCGCCGCTCATCCCATTTTCGAGGGAAGAGAGAGCGGTGTCCCTCCTCTCCTCGAATCCAGCGCCGCCGGCGTTGGTCGCGCTGCAGCTCTTGTACAGCATCTCCATCCCGGAAATCTGGGCGAAGCCGGAAACCTCGTACAGCATGTAGCAGCCGAGGAGCTGCATTCTGGCGGCGATGGGGCGGCCGCAGAGCTTGTCTATCAGCACCGGGAGGCCGCTGACGCAGGTGTAGCAGTCGACGTTCGACAGATCGCCGCGGCACTGGAAGAGGCCGGTGATGGTGGTCTGGCCGCCGCCGGCGGTGGTCTTGAAGAACCTGGAGCTCGACGACTGGGCGATTAGGGTTCCGAAGAGGGATGAGAGTGCTTGTGAGTATACACCTGTTGGATCTGATAGTGACTGGTTCGCGCAGCCCTTGTAGACCACGGTGGTGTAGTCGGCGGCGGCGGCGGCGGCGGCGGAGTGGGACGGCGGGGTGAGGTGGAGGATGGTAATTAGAAAAAAGGGGAGGAGCAAAAATGGGTGGTTTCTTTGTGAACCCATTGGTTGAATCTTGATGGGTTTAATAAACCATAGTTAAATCAAGAATCTGAAAAAACTTAATCTTTAAAACCTCGGAAACAACAATGGTGGTTGTAGGTATTTATGTATGTATAGTGTAAGGATTCATTCAGTTCATACAGAGGAGGGTTTCACACTATAGTGTGTGTCTATCTATATCTATTTGCAGAGACATTTTTTTGCTGTACACATGAAGAGCTGTACTTCAATGTTCCTTTTGATAATAGAGTAGAGTGTCTAAATTAAAAGAATTACTAAATTATGGTAGATATGTTGAATTTGTAATAAAATAAATTTATTGAACTTTTTTTGTATTAAGTTATTTAATTAAATGATAAAAAAAATCAAACTGATAGCTCTAGTGTTTTTTGGTTGGTGGATTTTAAATATTTCAAATCTGTCTCGTTTGAACTCATTTTTAAATATTTTAATTAAGGGCTATTTCAAATACATTTCTTTTTTGAAATTTAGGTAACTTACAGCCACCTCCTTGAGGTGAGGCTAAGTTACCAAAAAGTCACGCATGTTTGGGTTATTACAACCATCCAACTCAGTTATGAATCTTTTCCACGTTCATCCTTATGATGTTAAATTGAACATAGTTTTCCAGATACTGTGAAATGTTCTCTAGTTTGTACTTATTTTGTGCAAAATGACAGTTTCAAATGCATCACAATCTGTCATTTACAAGTCGTGCGACACATTTTATGATCATCTTGTTACAACATATAAAGCTCGAATGGGATAAAGCGTGTACAAATTGAAGAATATTACACATAATGTAGAAGATTATATTTCTCTAAGTTTGACACGTATAAGAAGATTCATAGTTAAAGGGGACCGTAATTAACCAAATAGTAGGAGTTTTTTTTATAATTTAACCTTACCTCGGGAGTAAAACGCGTAATAATATTAAAATTTGGCCGTTCATTTTATATATATATATATATATATATATATATATATATATATATATATATATATATATTAATTTTTTAGGTTGCCTTTTGTTTTAGTTAATATTTTACTATTCTCTCAAAAGGTAAGGGGAAAATATTCTCTTGGTTGGGGACAACTATGAAGAAAGGAATCTAATCAGGAGTACAACTCTGAAGGCATAAAGTACAATATAGCTGACTGGGCCAAGAAAGAGGCCTAATTAGCAACCGACAGCCCATTTTTGTAGAAGATGGATCCCTTAGGCCCCATTTGGCTAAATTTGTTTCAAACAATCCATCACAAAAAATATCTTACGAGTTAACATACATTTGCATTTTATTTTACATTTTTTTATTTTTAAGGTGTCTTTAAAATTTTATTACTTGCTCTTTAAAAAATTGATCAAGCAATCCAGCTAAAGAACAAAGCTAGACTTGGAGTGTTCAAGAGTTCAAAGGTGGCAAGTGATTGAAGGAAATTAACTCCGTGAAGTACGACACGTTCGGCTGTTAGTCGTAACTAACTGTTGAGCTGACACTTTGCTATTGAAGAAGAGCTCGTTCCAGAAGACCCCATGCGTGCTAATATATAAGTAGGTTCGACCTTGTTAGCTATGAGTCGGTTAGTTAGATCATAATGACGACACACATTAACACGACGTGTGGGATGAGAGATCGATCTGTACAAATTTGTAATATCTTATTTTGACCTTTATATCTTTGTGTACGTAATCGTTGGTGTTCATGATGGATTTTGCTCTCTTGGATGTAAATCATTCTGATTGAACCATGTTTTTTTATAAAGCATTCTTGTTTATTTGCTTGATTTATGATACTTTCCATTATTGCATGTGGATTAGGGTTCTTAGTTATTATCCTTAAATCTATGAATTAGTTAATCGAATTGTAGCTTGATTTCCTTTACAACTCTTGAGTTTGACAATATAAGTTACTTTTATTTTAAAGACAAAAAAAAAAAAAAAAAAAAAAAAAAAACACTACCCCAAGAAACACTCTTAGTTTGAATAGCCACTTTTTTTGCAAGTAGTTCTTATATAGAATGAAGTATCCAAAATTATATATGGGACTTATTCAAATAAAGATTCTTTTAGAAATAGGGTTTTAAATGTAAATGGAAAAAAGAAAATGGTCCACCCAATAATAATTTATTAACTAACTAATCAAGCTAAGGCTTCGTGTGCAATTTTTTAAATAATTAAAAAATCATTTTTTTACAACTACCCCTGAGGTATTGCCGAATTACGAAAATCCCCCTCATGTTTGGGTAATTACAACCACCCATCAACTATAAATCTTCTTACACATCCACCCTTGCAGTTTCAAATTTAGTAGAATCTTCTAGATTATATGAAATATTCTCAATTTTGTACCTGTTTTATCCCATTCGAGCTCCACATTTTGAAGCTAGATGATCATAAGATGTGTTTTTTAATTTGTATATATCATCAGATTGTGGTGCATCAGAAACTCTATATTCGCAGAAAAACGAGTACAAACTAGATAAACTTACATGGACTCTAGATGATTATGTTGAATTTGACACATAAGGACGGAGATGTAAGCAAATTCGTATTTGATTGGTAGATGTAATTATCCAAACATGATGGATTTTTTCGTAATTCGACCATACTTCAAGGGGTAGTTGTAATTTACCCCCTCTCTTTTCTTTTTTTCTTTTTTTACAATTACGACCCGATTTATGAGATAATATATATTAGACAAACTTTAATCGTGTTGTAACATTATTAATTATAACTTATTAATACTAATTAAGCATTCATAATTTGCTTTGAAACCCAACACAAATATATATTATAAAAATATTTCCTATAGTAATATTTAAATTTGCAAGGATAAAAGTGTTATGCCAACTGTTTAGATTTGTGACCCGCCGACAATAACGGATTGACTTTCAATGTATGGACAAACATCGTCGACGCTTTCAAATTAACAAACTCTTGTTTTTTTTCTTTTCTTTTATATTATTATTTATTTATTTATTTTTTATGTTAAAAAAAAAGAAAAAGAAAAAGAAAAAGAAAATCTTAAACGGCGGCCCCAATGGTGAGTTTTCCCCCCCATTCTTGCATCATATTTTCTCCATCACGTATATATATATACATATATAATTTGTTCATTTTCTTGCATGCATGTTGGAGAAATGTGCTCTTTCATAGCTAATTGTAGTGTGTGTCTGCGTGTGCGTGTTATTTTACACGTACTCAAGGTGGGAAAGATCAATATTAATCCTGCAGAACAATATGGTTCTTCCTCAAGAACATCTTCCCATTGTAATTGCATGCATGCCCTTTAATTCCTTTTTTTTTCCCTTAATTTTTTTATAATTAATAATATCGACGAATTATTTACCATGCATGCATGCATCGTTTATTTATTACATGCATTTCCATGTCACATTTTCTTGCCCTAACATCTTCAAACCCAGAAAAACCTACGACACGTATTTCATTCATTTTTTTTCATCCCTTTTCTCAATTTTCCCCTTCAATTCTGTATTTTCAACATTAAAAAAAAAAAACCTTTTCGTTTGAATTTTCCGTGTTCTGCAGAGTCGACGTATTGATATTATTCGTGTATATAACGCATGGACGTTTGAATATAATACCAAACATATCGTATAGATTGTTGATGCTCTTCTGTAATTAATTACAGAAATTATAAGCAACATGTTTTGTTTTGACAAAAATTGATGTATGCATGCATGCATGCATTAATTATTAGTGCCAAAAATGGCTGATTCTTCATAAGATATGTCTACTTCCTTTTCAGTAATAACTTCCTAATTAATCAAAATATCTTCTTATATGCTCAAAACCATAATGGAAGAATATATTATTTAAGCTTTTCCAGCTTATACATTAAGTTTTTCCATAATCTCGATTCTTTTATTCAGTTACGATGTGAAAAAAGGAATTTAAATTCGACGAAAAAGCACTTCACATGCGTAACACAATTACGGTTCAAAGTTCCTTAGGTTTGTCCTAATATGGATATTAATCATTCTTGCTTACCAGCTAATTTCCTTGTTTAGAAATTGCTTCATATTCCCATAGGCATAAATTCGCAAACTTTTTTTTTCTGTTTTCTGCAACGAATATCGATATCAGATCATCAAGAGATTTAAGGGTTTGATTCAATGTAGTCATGTAGATGCCGTAATTTACAACGAATTCTCGTCTTTATTTATTCGTAATCGATTTTTTTTTATGAATTAATTTATGGGATTATTTTTTTTTTGTTGCAGGAGGAAATTACGAGCCCGTTTGGAGCTCAAATGTTCGATTTTTACGAGTCAGAATTATTTCCGGAAACCCTACAAAATTCGGAAGTTGCTTCAAGTTCGAATTGCTGCTATGAAGAGCACTCTTCGTATCAAACACCTCTCGACACAAACAATTACCACAACAATAATAATACATTAGATAATAACGATATGAACTCCGCCGGAGGAGGCGGCGGCGCCGCCGGACCTACAACTCCGGCTGCCGCGGATGCCGCCAGCAACCTTTCAGTATTTCTGGAAGAATACCAGATAAACAACAACGACATATCAGCGTCTATAGATTTTACACTTTCTCCGTCGTCTTTTCCGGTCGTCGCTCAATACCCGGAACCCTTTTCACTGAACAACCATACCTCGTTCGCCGGAGATGCTGCAGATATCGGGCAGCTGTACACCTCCCACCAATACACGCCGCCGGAGCAGCGGCAGGTGTTGGGGCCTCCAGCGAGTTTTAAAGAGGAGCTCATGATGCGTTGTGTGCCGCCGTCGTTCATCCACCTGAGGAGTTCTTCTTCTCCGGCGGGCGGCGGGAGTCCGTTTGACCACATGATGGGACCCAGCTATTTGCCGCCGTCGGCGGCGGCGGCGCCGCCGTTCGCGGCGTTCGATAATAGTTTGTTTTTGGGAAGCGACCAAGAGTTGGATTTTCAAGGAGATAATATTGGTGGACTCTTTTTACAGGATTCCATGGCCAGGGTTTTTAATTTCTCCAGCGGCGATCTTCAGGTACATATATATATATATATATATATGAATATTGAATGTTTTAATGAATGGTTTAATTAATGGGAAATATAATAATTAATAAAGGGATTAAGCGGCGGCGGCGGCGGTGAACAGAGGCAGCAGCAGAATAATATGGTACAAGGTAGTCCGATAAGTACAAATCTGGTAACAGAGATTTCGGGTCTGGAAGATCCGAGTTTTAAGGTTGGTAAACTCTCTCCTGAAGAAAGGAAAAAGAAGATCCATAGATATTTGAAGAAACGAAATGAAAGAAATTTCAGCAAGAAAATCAAGGTCCTCTCTCTCTCTAACTTTCTCTCTCCTCAGTCTCTCTCTCTCTCTCTAGTTAAAAAAACCTCAATTATAAAAAAAAAATGCAGTATGCATGCCGGAAAACGCTAGCGGACAGCCGGCCGAGGGTAAGAGGAAGGTTCGCGAAAAACGATGAACTAGCAGAGCTTGCAAGAAATGCATACACAAACCATGGTGATGACACAGATGATGACGTCACCCTCTTCTCCAGTCTCATCCCTGATCACCACAACCACAAGGTATATATAGAATAAAATAATATCCTGATTTTAAATTATTATTATTATTTTTTTTTTTAATTCTGGATTTAATTTTCATGTTTATATATCATTTAATTTGGTGTTGTTGTAGGTGGTGAAAGAAGCAGAAGGAATGGAATCGGCAGATATGTTTGCACAGATAAATGGAGTAAATAGTTCATTCAAAAGCAATTATCCAATCCAGTCTTGGATTTAATTGACCTAATTTTATTTAACTATTTTTTTTTTTATTTATACCAAATTAATATTATAATTTAAATCATCAAATTAAATAGTGGAAAAGCTCGGTTGTTAGCCTTTGTATTGGGCTAGTAGTTACTATGATAGTTTGCAATTTTGTTAATAGTAAATTGTGTGTATCACTATTTTATAAATCTTAGCAATCAATTTTGTATTGATACTATTTACTATTACTTTCAAACAACAATAATATTATTTTATTTATTTCTCTAGAATTGAAATATAAATAAATAATATTATGTTTTTTTTGGTATTGATATAATAATATTATTTTATTTATTTGACTATTTTCAACTCAAAAATTTGGCTAAACTCCAAACACGGGATTCGTAGTTCTTTAAGCTAGCTTTGTAATCCAAATTGAATCGCCAATATTGGATGTCTGGCGTGAAAGATATACATGAATCAATGAACATTGGTAGAACTTCGATGTTTTTCTAGTTATCTAAAATTCAAAATGTAATTCGTTCATGCATAAATTTGTCATCCGACATCTAATTTAATTGATTCAAATTGAATTAGAAAGCTAATTGAAAGGACTACAATTTCAGTGCTTTGATTCTTGCCAAAACCAGACTAGAAAAATATCAAAATCACATTCGAATTCAAACCGGTATTCGTAAAATTGAAACGACATGTAACATTTCGATTAAAAGAATTTACAAAATTTATAAAATTCTTAAACCCAATGTCATATAATCTTCATATTCGAGGATATTAAGCCCATTAAAAAGCCCAAATCAAATTTCTAATTGAAAAGCCCAAATCCTAAAGCCCATACCGATAGCTATCATTTCAAACCCTAAACCTAATTTCGCTCACCTTTATAACAAAACCCCCTTTCTTCCGACACTTCACTGAAAACCCTAAACCAAAATGTCGAAGAGAGGTCTGGTTTCTGCTACAATTTTTGCTGCATCTTGTTTGATAAATTATATATCTCTACAAAATGGTTTGAATTTACTTGATTTTTTTTTTTTTTTGGTTTTCAGGGCGCGGAGGGAGTGCCGGAAACAAGTTCCGGATGTCACTGGGTCTGCCGGTGGCGGCGACGGTGAACTGTGCCGACAATACCGGCGCAAAGAATCTCTACATAATTTCAGTAAAAGGAATTAAGGGAAGGCTCAACAGGCTGCCGTCGGCGTGTGTCGGCGATATGGTGATGGCGACGGTGAAGAAGGGGAAACCTGAATTGAGGAAGAAGGTCATGCCAGCTGTCATCGTCAGGCAGCGCAAGCCGTGGCGGCGAAAGGACGGCGTCTTCATGTACTTCGAAGGTGAGATTCGTGTTTACATATTCCACGTTTGTTTTGCAATCTGCGATTTTCAATTTTTTTGGTTGATCTTGTTAATTATATGCGGATCTATGTTTTTCCTGTAAAGATTGAATTTTTTTACACTTTCGGATTCATATTGGGGTTAATTGTAGCTAAAACAATTTTTTTTAGCTGGAAATGGAATATGGATTAGTTTCACTTGAACAAGTTTATTACAAGTTTTGTATTGATCTGTAATAAAATGTGATGATTCCTTACCAGCCATAGTCATGTATCCATCTAGATTTAATGGTGAAGATACAGTTACATGTCTGGAAAATTAAATAAAAAGTATCCTTCGTTACAGGTGTTATTATATACTCCATGCTTACACCTGCTCCATTAGGACTCTACATTTTTCATCTTGTCAATAGTTATTTATTTATACCACTTTCTTATAATCTATATATGGAAAATAATTTGCGTCCTTGTACGAGTCGAAATGCGCATGATGTTGGCTATTGAAATAAATATAAGCTAAATCTTTCGGTTTTTTATTTTTGCAGATAATGCTGGTGTTATTGTTAACCCCAAGGGGGAGATGAAAGGTAAATTTAATTTATCCGTGATAATTGAAGTTTGCTCTATATCAAGTGATGCTTAATTTATTCGTTTGTAACGAGTGTTTTAATATTATGTGCTTGCGGTTTTGGCTTTCAGGTTCTGCTATTACAGGACCAATCGGAAAAGAGTGCGCCGATCTATGGCCAAGGATTGCTAGTGCAGCTAATGCCATTGTTTGAGTGTGTTTAACTTTATTTTAGTTTTTAAGATTAGATTGTAATCAAACTTAAAGAGGATCAAGTGGTCTTTTGTGAAGCATTTGTTTTTTCATGGATTCTTGTTTCTCAATGTGTGTTTTTTTTCGTTCTCTCTTAAGAAATGTCCACACTTATCATATATTGCGATTTAGTTCTTATTTTGGAGAAATTATTGCTTTTGATATACTTGAATGTATGTACTAATAGTTGGAGATTATTTTTTTTCAAAGGACAAACTCTACATAGCTTTACTTCATCTTCCTTTGATCTCTCATTTGCATGTTAGCACAATACTCGAACAAACTGCCATCAAAACACCGTCTAATCGCCTCTTTCGATAGAAATCCATCCGGATCCCTTGCTAGAATGTATAGTAATGCCCACTCGAATTTATTCGCAACCCTACAATCTCCGACGAATTCCAATTAAATATAACATTAAATTGAACAAAAAACACCAATTATAGAAAAGTGGCTATAGAGCTCAGACACAAAACCATACCATCCGAAGAAGTCGTAAGCTTCTCTGTTTCCTTCAGTCATGTTCCATAGTTCTCGGAGTGTAAGCTTGTCGGGAAATGCTCGACCGTACTTGCTAAACATGTTCTCAAAATTTACTGGCATGTACCTGGAAAAAGTGAAAATCTAAATATATACAATTGAGGATATACTGATACATATACATATTACACATATAATTTGCATATATATATATATATATATATATATATATATATATATATATATATATATATATATATATATATATATATATATATATATATATACCGTCCTTCGGTATCGTAGGTTCCAGAATCACTTCCATGCTTGGCCCTGTGTATGTTGCAAAGGTATATTGGGAAGAATGGAGAAGGAAACCATCCCTAATTTTACACCGAAAAATAACATGCCTATCAGGTGTTTGATATTATGCTCAAGAAAGAATCAACCTAAATAATATATATACTTACTGGTAGTGTAGGATAACTCAATCCTACATTAATCAAAATAGCCATTATGAGCGATGCAATCACATTGAACCCGATCTGCCGAAACCCTGCGAAAAATCCAAGAACGACAATTTCCATCAATAAAATCGAGAGAAATTTGATTCGATTTGTTGCTTGCCTGTATAAGTCTCCCATGGATAAATGATGCCATTATTATCTTGATCGAAGAAAGCACAATGCTGTTGAAGAACACTCATGTTGTGATGCATATGCCCCGGTGTTCCGTTCGGGTGTTCTGTATCGGGAGCAACCATTCCTCTTGCCATATCTGAATTTCAAAAATGATGTTCGAAAAAGATAATTGACAGATTGCAATTTCTGTTGGGATTATTTTCTGCCCTAATTCCCAATTATTACATCCATAATCAAATCCCTAATTAGAACTAGGGTTCATAACAATACGAACGAGAATGAGCACTCACAGGGTTTAGGAATTGAAGATTCCAAGTCTGTGCGGACCGGGCGGTCAATAGTCACCGGCGCGAGCTCCGCCTCCGGCGACAATGCCGGAGTAATTTCGGCGGCAACAATCGCCATCACCTCTCCTCTGATCTGTATCACCTGCAAATAGTAAAAAAAAAAAAAGCTCCGTTTGCTGGAGGTCAATTTAACGAACCGGTTTGACTGCACGAACACGCAAATGCAATGAAATTAACGTTGTAAAGAAGGTACAGACATGCAAATCGTGACAGTTTCACGCTGTGGATCCAATCTCTTGTGTTTCTTCTTCTTCACGCCAAGTTTGAAAAGGTGCAGAAAAAACGGCTGATTTCTTCTGCTTTTTTCGAATGGTTGCCATTTTTATTAGTTCTATATATTTTGATTAATTTTATACATTATAAAATACTAATTTTTAAAGATAAAAAAAATATATTTTTTTTACGTGTCCGGGGCGGGGCCGAAACTCGGAACGGGTACAGGTGAGAAAGTTTACTAGCAGGGCGGATGCAGGTTTTCAGAACCCGCCCCCATGGCTATCCCTAATTAAAATATTTTCGTTCGCTTGTGTTTGACAACAATTATCCATGTAGGGAGGTCTGGGTACAACGACTCGCAATTGAATATTGTGAATACTTATGCTGAAATGATTTGTGCAGGCCAAAATTAAACATTCAGGCACATTTTTTACCATTTTTCAAAAAACAAAAAGTAAAAAAACTCAAAACTCTCTCAACCTTTCGATTTTCTTTCGCAAAGCCCGTGCAAATCGTCAACAGATCGGAGGTAATTTTTACGTTTTTACGATCCTCTTGTTATGTAGATTACGAATCCGGAAAAAAAAAACGAAAAAAATCACACGTTGGCCTGCTCGTGTGAATTTACACGAGCGCATCCACTGTGCTCGTGTAAATCCACACGAGCAGGCATTTTTATTATTTTTTTTTATTTTTTTTAATTGCTCGTGTAAAAACACACGAGTGGTTGCAAAGTGCTCGTGTGAAATCACACGAGCAGTTTGCAACCGCTCGTGTGTTTTTACACGAGCAGATTATTATTAGTTTTTTTTTTTTTTTTTTTTGATTTATAAGATGCTCGTGCAAAAACATGCGAGCATTTCAACAGTGCTCGTGTGAAATCAGATGAGCACTGTTGAAATGCTCGTGTGTTTTTGCACGAGCACAAAAATTTATTTATTTATTTTTTTTTTTTTTTTTTTTTAATTGGGTAGGAATAGTACAAAAGGTAAATAGTTATGGTAAAAAGGTAAAAAATCATGGTAAAAAAGTGCCTGAATGTTTAATTTGGCCTGCGTATATCACCACCCATACTTATGGAGTGTTAAATGTACTATAAGATTAGTGTTTGCGCGTTTTCTGCCTTCAGTTGATGGTGATTTTGATGGTAAATTAAATTTGGTAGACTTTGTATTTATTTGTATACACGTGAATGGATCACAATTTTGTAAAGCCCAATAAATAATTTGCCATGTTATAATATTTTATTACATATTAGATTGGGTAACATAGTATTTATTGAGTTTGAGCCCATCAATTTTTGTAAATTGATTGATTATATTCGTTAAATTGGAATCCGGCCCAGACTAGTATCCTTCAATTCGCAGACAAATCTCCCTATTCTCTCTCTCTCTCTCTCTCTCTCTCTCCGTTAACCCTTTTTTTCGGAGATTTGATTTTGGTTAATATGGCAACTGAGGAGGCGGCTGCAGCAGCATCAGAAATTCCGGCGGAGGAGGCGCCCGCGGCGGAGAAGGTGCCGCACAAGCTACAGAGGAAGTGGACCTTTTGGTACGACAATCTGTCGAAATCGAAACAGGGCGCCGCGTGGGGCAGTTCTATGCGCAAGGCCTACACCTTCGACACCGTCGAAGAATTCTGGTGGTGCGTACCGATTTCACCATTCGATTTTGATGATTTTTGTTTTTGGTGCCGGGCAACCGGTTTTCCTTTGTCAAAATTATATGTTGGTCCGTTAATAAATTGTTTAGTGTTGGTGTGCAATTTTACCTGATGCTGTGTTTGAATGCAATACAGTTGAATCTCGATAAATTAATACCCAACCCCGGTTTAATAATAGTTTAGTTTTTCTCTGTATTAAATTATTAGTTCGATAATTTAATATTTCGCTAAAATTAATAGAATTTTGCTGCGCCAGACTCTATTAATTTATAGAGGTTTACCTGTACTCGTGCAATTTCGTTTATCTATTGATTATTGGATTTTTATCAAACACCTTGTTTTAGGTATTTGTACTGTATTAGACAATAAAATTGCTAGGGTTCTGACAGTATCAAGACTTATTAAAATCCCATATCGCAAGTTAGCTAAAGGATTAGACCGTCTGGCGATGTCGAAATTCAGTTAGAGTTGCAATTTTTAGTTCATAAGTTAAAAGAATGAAGTTTTAAATCAAATATCTTGTGAACTGCGATTTGTGTCAGAAATTGGCATTTAAAGATGCATAGTCGTTTGTTACGTTTCTGGCCCTGTCTCGCTTCCAGTTTGTCCTAATTTAAGACTAGAGAACTATATAATCTTTTCGAGACTGGTGATTTGTAGAAACGGGAGTGAAATTTCTTCAATGCAATATTTTTGTTTATGTCAAAGCTGCTAGATAAATACTTCATTATACTATCTCGAGTGACAGTGAATGCAAAATATATTCTCATGGCTGTAAGTTCTAGTTAAAAGGTTCTTAAAAATTTTAAAAATTCGGTTGCATGGGATGTGTTTTACTCCTGCGGAAGCCCAACACGTTCAGTTTCGTAAGCCCGTTAGGGTCCTCTAGCATCATTTTTTAAAATTTGATTTCAAAGATGGAGTAGTGTTGCTAAGAGCATCAACACAATCATATGAATGTAAGCGACGATATTTTTTACATATATTCATTTGTCAAGACAAGGTAGCCTGTTGGAGCACCTTTACCAACTCTTCTAACGAGGGTTGGAAATTTGAATTGTAAGACGTGTGGTAAATTTGTTATTCTTTATGAAGTGAAATGGTGACTTTTCTTTTTAATTGTAAGACGTGTGGTAAAGTTGTTAGTTCTTATGAAGAAGTGAGATGGTGACTTTTCTTTTGCAGTTTATACGACCAGATATTTAGACCGAGCAAATTCCCAACAAATGCTGATTTTCACTTGTTCAGAGCGGGAGTTGAGCCCAAATGGGAAGACCCCGAGTGCGCTAATGGCGGCAAGTGGGCCGTTAATTGCAGCAAAAATGTCAACATGGATAACATGTGGCTTGAAACTGTAAGAAAAATCTTACTGAACTTCAAAATACGAGATTCAAACGCAAAACATTTCTATCTTTTCTTTTTTTGTTTGAATTTAGATTTTCTTTTTGACCGGCTGCATATTTGTTTTCTTTGTTAGTTAATGGCTCTAATTGGAGAGCAGTTTGACGAGGCCGATGAGATATGCGGAGTGGTTGCCAGCTTGCGCCAAAGGCAAGATAAAATCTCATTGTGGACCAAAACTGCAGCCAATGAAGCAGTTCAGGTATTTATTTTCCCACAAATTCCCAGTTTTGATTTACAACGTGCCTGATTTTAATCATCGTGTTTTTAGTATTGTCTTAACATTAGTTGAAAAAAAACTTGGTGATTATTTTATTTTTATTTTTTAATTCGATTCTTGCGATGCAGATGGGCGTTGGGAGGAAGTGGAAAGAGATCATTGACGTCACCGATAAGATTTATTACAGCTTCCATGTACGTTCTCTTCATATTTCTAATTAATATCTCACACACAAACGTGTATTTTTCTCACAATCTTTTTTCTCTTATGTTATTACAGGATGATTCCAAAAGCCAAAAGGGAGGAAGCAAAGGTCGATACGGTGTGTGAACAAAGATCCCGATGTATATCGACGAGCATGTTTCTGGTCTATTTTCCAAACCTTGGTGTCAATTTCATTTACATTTTGTCTCAGTATTTTACCTCTATGGTGGTTGTTTTCATCATACATTGAGTTAGTTTATGTAATCTCAGCACTTTTCAAGATTGTCTCGAGCACCGTTTTCTTGTCGAATTCTTTGAAAAAAAAAAAATTAATCATGTTTCAGTGTTAAAACTTTTCGTATCAATCTCGTGTGTCGATTGGCATTCTCATTCTCAACTGAAGAAAAACATGAATAAAAACATATAAAGTCGAAACAATATTCATCGTATCTTAGATTACGTGTGTAATGAGTAGTACAATCTAAGACGCGAGCTAAGGCATGTCGTTGAGAATGATGTCTATATATACTAGTACACACAAGATTTTTTGTTCAGGCAAGGAAACCGAGCTTCTCTCCGTTTTTCTTGGCTAGTCGAATCAGCCCTTGCCTTTGCTTGGAGTCTGCTCCTATCGATTTGCAGAACTCGTTTATCACCTGGATAATTTGATCGAATCATTAGATTCTCGACTCTCGAATAATCAACGATAAAATTGTAAAAATATACATGTACACATACAACAATATCTATATACACATACAACAATATCAATGATTTAAAGTTAACAAATTTATACTGAGACGAATTACAAAGATGAAGGACTAAATTGGAAGTGATTATTAAGATGAGGGACCATTAGTGAAATTTGGCCTAAATATAGTTACCTGTGAGTGAAGAGCAATGGCTTTGCCCCTAAGCTGGTTAAACGTTTTCTTCCCGACAATGTTTCTTACGACAACAACTACTGGAGCGAAAATACCTTTCCCTTCATTAACATTCTTCATCATCGGCCGCGGTCGGATTGGCCGCGCCATCCTCACTTGCGGCGGCGCCGCCTTGGCCTGCAGCAAGGTGTGGTCTTCGCCGGCGATGGTGGTGGCCCAGCTCCCAAGAAACGGTGAAGCGGAAACTGAAGTAGCAGCCATTGAAGAAAGAACGATGATGTTTGCGCTGCTCAAACCAGTGCCGGGGAAATAATCAATTAATTTTTATTTTGGTGGAAGATTATTTGAGAGATTTTTGGCTCAGAAAATTCAAGGTGAGCTAGGCATTTTGAGAGCCACAAGAAATCAGTGGGTGGGATTTTTGATTTATCTTTTCATTTCTTTTTTTTTTCAAACAAATAAATTAAATAAAATAATAATAATAATAAATAAATATAAAAATTGAGTAGAATGAAGACGTTTCTATATGGTTCCAAGTCATTTGGAGATCTTTATCTTCTATTTTACTGGCTGTGTTTGTTTGTCAATGGTCCCTCTCTCACATAGCTGACACGTATTTATATTAGGGTAAATTACGGTTATTTCTGAGATAAAAATCAAATTACGAAGTAATCTTTTCTTTTTGGATAATTATAATCATCTCCTCAACTATGAATCTTCTTAGACGTCCATTGTTACAGTATCAAATTTAGTGGAATCTTCTAGATTGTATGGAATATTCTCCAGTTTGTACCCGTTTTGCTCAATCGCAGCTCCACATTTTGAAACAAGATGTGTTTGTTGGCTTGTAAATATCAGACATGTAGTGCATCAGAAATTGCATTTTTGCATAAAACGATAACAAACTAGAGAACAATCCACGGAATCTAAAAAATTCTGTTGAATTTGACACCATAAGAATGGACTTGTAAGAAGATTCATAGTTGAGGGAGGTGGTTGTAATTACCCAAACATGAGGGGTTTTCTTCGTAAACTTCTGAGACAGTAATCTGCAGTTTCCGAATAAATTTTAGCATTTGTACTAGTATTTAAAAAGATATATTTCACTGAATTTATGTATCTTGATTCTAAGCAGTTATTCCAGTTTTATGTATCTTGTCACTCGAGAAAATTTCGGCAATTTCAACCATCGTCTTCTAAAACGACCGACGAAGCTATGTATCTTGATTCGAAACCGAATCCGCTTAATTTTATTCATCAACTTCCGTCTCTTTCTAACGATCTTCGATTTCGAGGCGTTTATCCATTTCTTGACTCGTTTGCATCCTGCACCACAGTTCTTAGCTTCAGCAATTTTATTTTGTAGTAACGCTTTTTATCGATGATGCAATAAGAATGATAAAAATAATACCTTTGGCTTTCTTTTCAGGACGTCGATCTTCTTGATCGACATCTACATCATCATGCAACGGCTGTAACACGAGAAATAAATTAATCAACGTCGCCATTAATTAGTATAGTTAGTTCATTATCGAATATGTCGGATTTGATGTTACCCGAATCAGCTTCTCTAAACGAAGTCTCATCCTTCTTTGTATAAAACCTCTCGTGCTCTGATCAAGACTTCGTTTATCTTTCAAGATTTTCGATTAAAAAAATAATAATAATAATAATAGTAATCCTGTATCGTATATACAGCTTACGAAGATTCTCTTACCTTCACGTAATACTTCACAAACGTATAGAAATTCAGTAGGTTCCATACAGTTTTGTCTAGGTTCTTTCCTTCCACGTGACGCGACGTAATATCTATAACACACATTTCTTGAATATAATTAGCAAACGTATAAACATGCGTATAAAATGTGGAATTTAATTTTTTATTAATACCGAAAGTGACGAATCCGCAATTTGTGCACAGGTCTTCGATGGACTCTCCTCGTAATTCCGGAGGTGGAATAGGTGACCAAATGCAACGAGGAGCCTTACGACATTTTTCCGAATTTCCTACATCTGCAAGTTCCTGTAAATATATTATTTTTAATTCCGAGTTAGAGGTAAACGAAAAATCGTAACATGTAATGAAAGTTACCTTCATATAGATGGATGGATTAATTAATTAATACCTGAAAGAAGGATGTAGCAATAACTACGTCCTCGTTTTCCTTAAATCGCATCGGAAATACTGCGGTGATTTTCGCTTGCTGTCGTTGTTTTAATCCAATTTAGTTGTTTGAATTTAAATAATTCATTTGAACTCGGTTTTTTTTTACCTGTTTGATGAGAAAGAACGGTTCACTTGGACGATAAACGAGTTTGATTGGTTTATACATCCCGTTTGAATCAACCTTTGTTAGAATTTCTTTAAGGTGGGAGCTAAGTATTACTGCTCGAACCGAGGATATTTCTGTTATAATCTTTGTGGAAGCTACAAAATTACGCGAAAAAACAGAATAAAATATTTTATTTCTTCTAATAAAGACGGGATTTTTTTATCGAGGATTTTTTTTCGGGAACCACCAACCTTTACTGTGTGGAATTCTCGAGAAGTCGAGCTTCAAAGTGAGCTGGTAGCCTTCTTGCGAGGGCTCTATAGTTTCGATAATCCGAGGGAATACTCCATTAACCGTTTCTAGAATATGCTCCGGAAGATGTGACGAGAATGTGAGCCCTCGAGATAGAAGAGGTGTTGATAATGATAAATAGGCGCAATGTGGATCCGAAGCTGAACACTGCTTGAGAATTTTTTATTTTTTTTCCGTATTTCGTTAAGTGAGTTTTCCAGGAAATCGTAACATAATATAAAAGAAATAAAATAAAATTATAGCAAGCATAACTAAAATTTTCATCGACAGATAGCTTAATTGTTTACCTGAACATGGTAGTGTACGGAACCAAATTCGTGCACGTGGTAATCTATTTCCACGGGCCTCTCGGCTCTGTCATTAAAAAAGAAAATCGTGTCTTAAATTATGTGAAGGTTGTTAAATGGTGAAGATCTTTTCTATCTAGGTAACGTAGAATGTGAACGTAAATATTTTTTTTTACGATTGATGTAGTAGTTTACCATTCGTATGTTGTGTAATGTAAGTAGTTTATTAGCAATGCAGTTTTTGCCAACTTATGTGCTCCAAAATCGAAATCTTTGAAAATGGTTATTTTTTTCAGATAGATACCGAAACCGAAAACCGAAAAATCAGACTAGTAGTGAAATCAAGCTCATCCATTACCTGTGTATTTTCAAAAGAATTTCCCTCAATGCTGGTGAAGCCCTTTCAAAGCATGCCATCATCTCTCTCTCTCTCTCTCTCTCTCTCTCTCTCTCTCTCTCTCTCTCTCTCTCTCTCTCTCTCTCTCTGTGTGTGTGTGTGTGTGTGTGTGTGTGTGTGTGTGAGTGTGTGTGTGTGAGAGTTATGGGGAATAAGAATGAAGCCATTGTTGAGTAAAATGCAAGGTGTGTGTGTGTGGTGCAATCATGGTTGACAACTTTTGAAGCAAAATTACATACCTAAAAACAGAGCCACTCTCTTTCACCTCTAACCAGGGTAAATGTCTTCAATTGCAAGCATTTCTTGGTGTATAAAATAAAAAAAAAAAATTAAAATATATATATTCTTTAAGAAGAAAAAAAATAATATTTGGGCCATATAGCAATTAATAATTTAATACATGCACCTGAAGGTAAAGTATTAGTGAGGAATTGATTTATGGCTTTGTTATGTGACAAATTTCCCAACCTAAAAAACACAAGATTCTTGATTTTAATCCCATCATTCAATTAAAAGAAATATATATATATATATATACAAATATAATTTTCTTCTTGGAAATTAGGAAAAATAAAATGAAATAAAAAATGAATATTATTTATTACTACACCACACAATCTCAGCCGTTGGATTTGAGCCCCACAGATTCCGACAATGTCAACCGTCATGTGTGAACTGTGAACAACTACGTATCTACGATAATTTTCTTCCCCGCCGGTAAAACTCACACACCATCCTCTCTCTCTCTCTCTCTTCCCCAAAATCAAATCTTTCGATTAGGGTTTTTGCGATTGCAATTCCGAAATTCTGAATACTCCTATTTCCTGGAAAACCCCTCTTTTTTCCTTTCCCGGATTTGTATATTGATCACAGAATGTTTTGATTTCACAGCTAAAAGCAAAACATTTCGATCACAATCTCGCCGCTTCTTCCTCCATTCTCAATAAATCTCCGGCATCAATCAATCCATAAATTCATCAACCCTGACCCTGTAATGAATCGACTCGGGTGCATATCAATTGCTCCCTCGGTCAACCCCGCGTTGACCTTCCACAGTTTCTGACAAACATCCACCATTGATCCCCCAGTTTCAAATGTTGGGAATTGAATGTTAGATTCTTCGATTTTAGGAAAAATGGGTTGTGGTGAGAATGCCGGGTAGATTTTTTTTTTTTTTTTTTTTTGAAGTAGTTTTGATGCAATGGATATAAACATCGATGCAATTAGTGGAAGTATGAACAGTATTTTGGAGTCTCCAAAAGTAATGATCATGGAAGAGAGTGAGAGTGATGTGGAAGATGAGTCCCGAGCTTTGTTGCAGTCGGAAAACGGTGGTTTGTCGAAGAAATCGGAAAAACCTAAGAGGAAAGTACAGTGGTTAGATAGGAGTGGTGATAATAAGCTCGCCGAAATCTTGGAGTTTCAACCGAGGTATATATAAGTTAACAAACTTCTTTTTTTTTTTTCGCTGTTTGAATTTATTGATGTTTTGCTTGATTTTGATCGGCTTGTTAAGGAATTGATTTTGAATACGAAGAACAACGGTATTAAGGGTAGAAAGACGATCGTAACATTGTTTAAGGTTTTTGAGCTTTGATGGATAGAAATGTTAGTAAAATTGGTGGATCTTGATTTGCTTGATTTCGATCGGCTTGTTTAGAAATTGATTTTCGTGGTTGTTTTGAGTATTTTGAATACGAAAAACAACGGTATTCAATGGTAGAAACGCGATCGTAACATGTTTAAGGTTTTTTGAGCTTTGATGGATAGAAATGTTAGTAAAACGAGATGTATCTCGATTCGTACTTTCTATGGATTACCTAAATGCTGCATAATCAGTAACATTGGTCGAAATTGGTTTTTGGATGTCCGAAATTGTTTATTCGTCAGGAGCTTGGAAATATTTCTTGCAGATTCTTGAACGTTCGATTTCTGGTAGATGATGGAAGTGAAATCGGCACTTGTTTTGCCCGGTTTTTGTTAAATTAATAATTTAATTTTTGTTAAGTCGACGAGGATGATGCTAATCTAGGATAACATTTTTCCTCCATGGAAGTTATATAAATAAATAAAGTCATACTTCCCTAATTACAATGCTTATTGGTCGATCCAAGACTGCTTTATTTTAGTCGTTAGCTGAAAATCGAAGCATTGGATATATATTTCTCAAGAAGCCATTCTATATACAATCACACACATAAGAGATTTAAGATTAACTTTACATTCAGCATCAATAAAGTTTCGCGTTTATCCTGTAATTGTAAGTCGACATTTTATCGTTCCTTGTGTTAATATGGTTCCTTTTTTTTTTTTTTTGCAGTGATGTGAGCGACTCGGAAGAGGAAGATTCAGATTCTTGCATCTGTAGAATAATGTAGACCAGATTCATTATACCGTTCTGAGATTCGCTGCAAACGGAATATGCCAAATCCAACGGCTCTGGAGTTTCCAGAGGTTAATTTTTTTTCCTTCTCGTTTTTTATCAAATAGTATATCGAAATGATCATAGTGTGTGCTTTTTATACTCCGATTGTTGTATAGGAAGTTACAGGTGCCTCTGTTTGCTTCACATTCTTCGAAGTTTGTAAAAAAAAAATAATCGTGTATCAAACTGAATCGTGTCTTAATTTATTAAATTTCGATTTTTCTCGTGATATCAGTTCTCTTACAGATCTCGATGTTTTTTTATTTAACGTAAAATTACAGGGATTGCAATAAATGAATATTCCAATAATAAATTGACAGTGTAAGAAAATGCCCTACAAAGAACACTCACTATACATAAGCACAAGGTACACTCTTGTATGGATCACCAAATGCAGCAACATTTCCCGGTCGACTGAATACAATCTGATTTTCCGAAAAAAAAAAAAAATTAATATTCGGGTAATAATAATCGAGAAAAAAATCGAAAAATAAGTAGCAGCTATAGGAAAAGTGTATACCTGATAATCTCCAAGAGTACAAGTTTTGAAGCCAGCTGCACAATAGTCGAAATAATATTCCCACGTCCTGATGAACTTCTCGTCGAACCCCAGATTTTTTATTTCGCTGAAAATGACAGATTGTTTATTAAATTAAAAAAAAAAAAATTGAAATATTTATATAACGTATGATACAAGTCTGCGTTTCTTGATTCTTTACCTCGTCCGATTGAGGAAATTCTCCCGCCAACATCGAAGTGTTTGGTAGTAATGAATTCCGATGTCTTCAACGTGCTCCACACTGCGTAACGAGTATAGTCGAATATATTTATTAATTTGCTTAATTTAATTTTTTTTATATTGATATAAAACGTGAAAAGGACGAAGATGGTAATTACCAAAGTCTAGAAGCAGCAGCCATTGCTGATGTCACTCGGCTAAGTGAAGGCAAGCATCCACCGGGGAATATATACTCTTTAATGAAATCCGAGCTACGCCTGTATTCAGTGTACCTCTCGTCTGGTATCGATATAAACTACACGAAAAAAAATAAAAAAAAAAAAAAATAAATAAATAATCATAAATAAATCGTTTTGTACGAGTAACTAACTAACTAACGAACCTGAAGAACAAAAAGACCGTCTTCTGCTAATGCAGATTCGCAGCAACCGAAGAATTCTTCCATATATTCATGACCTACAGCTTCTAACATCTCACTGCACATATCAATATTTTTCAAGACAAAATTAAATAACCGATTATCGAAAAAAATTCAATTTTTACATAGCCAAAAAAAATAAAATAAAAAATTAAAAAAAATAACCATGATATGATCCTGTTATATTTCTCGGTTTTGGGCAACTGGCGATAGTCGCATAGAAGAAACTTTATTTGATCCTGAAATCAAATTTCACATTATAATATTTCACATATTTGAAATGAAATATATAACAAAGTACCGTAAATAATTTAATTATAATTTTTTTTTTCGTCTAAATTTAATTTATACCTGAAGGCCAGCTTCTTTAACTTTGAGTTCAGCATATTCCAACTGCTGTTCCGATAGGGTGATGCCGGTATATTTACATCCGGTTCGTTTAACCGCTTCGATAGCTAAAGTCCCCCAACCGCATCCTATCTCTAAAATGTGATCGTTTTTTCTGATTTTCCCCTGTTTTCGAAAAAAAATCCCTTTCCAAATAATCATTTTTTTTTTTAATAAAATCAAAGAGGGTTTCAATTTTTTTTTTTAAAAAAAAAAAAAAAAAAAAAAAACATTTCACCTTTTCGATAAGAAGCGAAACTTTCCGGAGCTGAGCGATTTTCATGTCTTCGTCTTGAGTCTTTCGATAGAAACAATAATATATATCAGAGGGCAGTTTATTTATAAATAAATGATTTAAAAAAAAAAAAAAATAAGAACACTAACCTTAAATATTGCACAAGAGTACATCATTGTCTCATCCAAGAACAGAGCAAATAGTTCATTGCTCTGCACAACCGAAAAAAAAGAACATGTTTTTTTTTTTTTAGTTATTTGCAAATAATATTAGACGGAATTTATAGTTTCGAAAAAACTTACGAGGTCGTAATGTCTTGAAATGTTACGTCGTGCTTGCGTTAATGAATTCTGTCTCGACACATGGTTATAGAAATATTTCGCAGACGATATCGCCGAAGTTAATAGCAACGGCGTCCACCAACCCCTATATATATACATAAATATTCTTAAAAACCCTTTTCGCAATAAGATTAGTAGTAGATGAAACAAATGTAGCAAAAAATTCGATAAGTTGTTACCTTTTGTTGTTTAGTTTTGAATTAGAAGTACTTAATTCTCTATTCGCAACAAATATCTGCGAAAAAAAAACGGCATTCGTAGGAAAAAACCGTTTATTACCAGACGAAAAATCACTAAATTTAATTCATTTTTCTTACCATGAAAAGATTGAGCATGCCTTCATTCTTATCAACGAAAGAGAAATCCCCGTTTATATACGCGTCAGCTAACCCTAAATCTGCTTCAGTAGCAACCTGTGACATATGTATTTATATATAATATATAATTAAACATAGAACGCAAATGACAAAACTTAATTAGTAATAATTAGAGTTTTTATTTTTATTTTTTTTACCTTCCAATAAAACTGTGGAGTATGAATTCGCAACGAGACTTTTAAGAAGCTCTTCTTTTTCGTGCCTTCGAATGTGAACATTGTACCTCCATCTTCCAATAATCTGTCATGGCACGACTTCTCGATTATCGATTAAAAAAAAAGAAAAAAAATTGTTGGTTTAATATAAATACGAAAAACTCACATTAGAGTTCCGATAGATATAAGACTTTGAAGAAACCTAGTGACGAGAAGACGGGCTCCGGTTTCAAGCCACGACGGTACCATATGTTTCGGGTTGTACCTAAGTGTACAACTCTTTCCAAGCAAGCCATTTGCAGCCACTATACCGGCCTGCATGTCAAATTCAAGATTAATATTTTTTCTCTCCAAAAAAATTGCAAAAAAAAAAAACCTCGTAAATATACCTTTACTCCGTCCTCATGAAATCCGTAGCCTGGACAAACAATGCAAACGTAAAAAGTCGTGTAACAAAAAACGAAATATTCAACGTATAATTGTATTGTTTAAAATAATAATGCACCTTGATATGCTCCGGCGAACCATATTCTTCTTTTTCCTTGGATTAGATTTAATTCAGACGAAGCTTTATTTGCAGCAACCGATGGAATTGGATGACCAGTTGACCATTTAAGCAGTGTATTTTCCGGTGTCGAAGGTGGATTAAGTGTTATTAGAAATGGAGGCCCTGTTTGGCTGATATTCTGCAAATTTTTTTTATATATATACATATTATTAACACGAATTTATTTAATTAGCAAAGTAAAAAAATGATTTTTTTTTTGCTGAATTAAAAAAAATTACCTGGAGTATATTGAGCCAATATGTCACACAAACTTTATTATTGATGGTTCCGAGAAAATTCCACGCGCTCCAAGCTGCCGTATTTTTCGGCATTAATTTTTTGTCGCGGTGAAGGAAAATATCACTGCAATAAAGGGTTGTTAAAAAAATAATAATTCAGAAATAAATTAGCATGATAAAAAAAGTTTCGATAAACGAAAGTAGTAGAATTAACAACCTATAGGCATATTGAAATGCACCGAGTATTCTAGATTCGTCGTACGTTGCATGCTGCCCTAGCATCTTCAGAGCATCTGGTGCATGTGCACCAATTATGCACGCGTCGTATTTATCCTCTGAACCATCCTTACAACTTATAGTACAACCTGAAAAAAAAATCGAGTTTCGATATTTTAATATCAATTAATACAGTGTTGGAATACGAAAATGAGTTTGCTCTCACCGTCATCGTCTGCTGAAACAGAACATACTTCGGAATTGGTTCTTATTTGACACCCTCGACTTTCGAGAAATTCCGTAACCTTCATTAAAACAGACATATATGTAATAAATACTATGATATTCACTAAACAAACGTTGTTCTATTCGAGTTGTGTTACCCTATGGACGTAATCTTGTGAGCGCCACCTCACGGTAAGCCATTGTGGACGACCAAAGAGCTGCGAGACGACATTTGATTATTTTGAAGAAAACGAGAGAAAAATATTATATTTGAATTAATATTATTAACTATTATATTACCTGCAAAAGGTGGTGATTACGACAAAACGAAAGTATGGAATACGCAGAGAAACTCATTACTCCTTCCGAAGAACACGACCATATCGAACCGCAAATCGGTATCTGGAAATAAAATTCCAAATAAATTAGTAAATATTCAAATATATATTAAATATATATTTGTGATACTTTCTTACAAGATAGGCCTTTTGGAATAACTCGGAATAGCCACGTGACTGGATGAAGTGGCCTAGTGTTTCGTTTCGATCGAAATCCGGATTGTTGTCGAGCTCTTCAACGTAACTGCAAAACGTAAAAAAAATATTTAGTGGCAAATACGAAAATGTACTTACGAAATCGAAACGTGGGATTATGTAAAAAGGCTTACTTAATGACATCATCCTTAAATTTGAGGATTTCTTTGATCATTTTCCAAAAATAAGGATTAATTGCATTCTTTTTTTGTGCAAACAATCCCGAAAAACCGGTACGGCTACCCCATTCGCATCCTTGGCCTTTGTCTAAGCTCACCGAGAATGACATGTCGGATATTTCCATTTCGACTCCGAGGGTTTCGAAGAATTCCATCATGTTTGGATATGTAACCTGTTCAATACATATACCCCAAACTTTAATTTTGTTGCATTTTTTTCCCTCCGATTTTATTCAAAGGCGAAAAAATAAATTATTGGATTATTTTGTTTGTATCGAGAAATAATTTTGAATTGGGGTGTGATAAATGTCGTTTCAGTTTTAATATCGTTTTTACTTTAAACGTGATTTTGACTATTTTCAATTCTGAATTTACCGACTTTGACTATTTTTGGAGCCAAAACCAAGCCATTTCTGAGCATTTAGGTGGTGTTTGTAAAAGCTTATTTAAGAGTAGAAGTTAGTGATTGTGGATTAAGTTGGAATTAAGTGTTTATTTCTAAAAGTTGAAGGTGTTTGTAAATTATCTGGAAAATAAACTAAATTAGAAAAAACAGATACATTGGTGCTTTTAAAATTATACCTTAAAACAGCTTATTTTAAAAGAAGCAAAAACAAAATCTTATTTTGCAAACACTTAAAAATAGATTATGTGCCGAAAAAAACTCATAATCTATTTCTAAATCATTTGCAAACACCACCTTAGTAATTTACCGGTTTACTAAAAAAAAAAAAAAAGTAATTTACCGGTTTTTTGTACTAATATCCTAATGGGCCCAGTTTTATTAAATAAAAGATTTGTGGGGCCCAATAACTTATAAATGGGCCCCATTGCAGGCCTAACGTATATCCCGACAGCTATTGATGGACAGGAAACTAACAATTGACAATTGTAGCCCTAATTTATTTGGCCCAGCTGTGAAATTCTTGCATGTGTTGGGTGCAATGCACCCGATCCATTAATTACCGTTAGTTGAGTGGTAATAACACATTCTTGCCGGTTCTTTAAAAAAACAAAAATAGGGAAAATTACAATCGCCTCCCTAAGGTAAGGTTTATTAATGTAAAACCCCCTCATTTTTCTATAGTTACATCCTCCCTTAAATTTATAAATTTCTTATATCAACACTATTTTCTAGGAGTTAGATGTAAGAAATTTATAAAATGCAGGGAATTGGATGTAATTTCGTAAAACGAAAGTATTTTTTTAATAAATTTGAAGGTGGTAAAAAATGAAAAGTTTGTGATTATTTAACAAATTATTTTAAAATAAAATATGGTAATAATATCCAATAATAATTCACAAGATGCACGAATTACTAAAAAAAGAAAATCTAAAATAGAATTTAACCAATTATAAGTTGACACGTAAAAGGGTAAAATCTAAAATAAATTAACCAATTATAAGTTGACACGTAAAAGGGTAAAATATAAAATAAATTTAACCAATTAAGTCATGTCGTTGTCTGAGTCTCTAGCAATAGAGATGTATAACATAAAAAAGGGATAAACGGACAATTGAACCCTATGCGTGTCAGCTTTTCGTAATTATATACTAATAATGTAAGAATTAATTAAAATAATATTCATCTTTACAAGATTACAAACTCTCCCAACTAATTAATCATGCACTAATTAATGATTGGATCCTGTCACTATATATTTAGTATTTACACTTCTGGATTTATTTTATTTTATTTTATCTTAATAGAAAATTTCTATAAATTAATACAGTCAATACTAGTAAAATTCTATTAGTTAAGCAAAATATGAAATTATTCAACTAGTAATTTAGTGTCGAGACTTAAATACATTATTATTCAAACAATGTTATTAATTTATCGTTGCTCCAGCCTAATTTAATTTTAGTTAAATAAACCAATTAATATTTTGGCCTTTTGCTAAAAGCTATTTAATATTTATATATAAAATTAATAATTAAAGAAAATGAGGAAATTATATATTAAAAAAGAAAAGAATATGAGGCCATAATGAGATATTGTGCAGCAAAGCAGATAGACCAATAAGAGTGAAGAAAATGAAAAAGAAAAAAATTAAAAAAAGTAAAAAAATAAAAAAAAAATAAAAAAAAAAATATATAAAAATAGAATAAATACTTACTCGATTAAAGACCATAAAACCAAGGTCTAGAGAAGTGCCATCAACAGTAACAGTTTTAGCATGGCCCCCCAAGTAATCTTCCTTCTCGTACACCACCACCTCCACTCCGCCTTTCGCCACCACATAGGCGGAGACCAGCCCACTTACGCCGCCCCCCACCACCGCCACTCTCATCTTCTCCGACATATTCCCTATTAAATCAAATCGCCTTCAAAATTTATCAAACTGCATTACCGGAGTATACAGATACAATCATGTTCTAGTATATTGAACTACCTCAAAATGTAGTGTTTGAGAGTGAGAGAGAGAGAGTATAGAGAGAGAGAGAGAGAGAGAGAGAGAGAGAGAGAGAGAGAGATGAATATACAGAGAATCAATATTGTTCGGAGTGATATTTATAAAGATAAGGTTGTAACAATATTAATTTCTCAATTGATATAAAACTGAGGTGCCCACAATATTTTGTCCTATTTGCAAATTGCTACCTAAAACCCATATATAGAGATCTATTTCTCACTCCAAAGAAAAAGGTTTTCTGCAAATTCCAGTTAGACTATATATGAAAACGTGCAGGAAACTAGAGAGAGAAAGAGAGAGATCTAGAGAGAGAGAGAGAGTAATATATAACACTTAATGCAGGAAACTATTTTTGAACAAATTACAGAAACGTACTGATATATTTTTGGTGAGTTATTGGAGCTGTTTGGCCAATGTAATAATACTCCGCCAACTCATATATTGTTACTTTTGATCTGAAATTAATTGATTTTAAATTTAATAAAATTAATTTGCCCTATTTTTTTTTTATAAAACTAAAAATATGAAGGGGGGGCCGTGACCCCTCCCTACAGCATGTTATCCTCTTCTGATTTGCCAGTTTCCAACAAGACATAATAAAATGTTTTCATAATATTGAAAAGGGAAGGCATTAAAAGAGGCCACGACTCGTTTTGTGGTACTATATTGCCATAAGAATTAATCAAATAAAAAAGACCCTTTAAAAATTAGCTAATTGGTGAACATCAAACATAATTATTAATTATATTTTAATATGTCATAAAAAGAAAATTAATAATAAGACAACAGAAATTGAGTTTTATTAATGGTAAGGTTTGGTGAGAGCTGAATTTTCTAACATTGATTTGTCAGAAAAGGCGCGTGTGTTGGACTGTTAAATTCTGCAGCTGCTGTGTGACCAACGTGGTGGCTTTGCTACCAGTTAGAGTTTCTTGGTTTCAAATGAGGGTTACGTTTAAAATGAATATAGTTGATTTATACTTAGATTCAAGATTCGAATATTTATATTAATTTTTTTTTGAAACTTGGCGTTTTTGTATTTGAATTTTATTAAAAGTAATATCAAACTAATTATAATGTAGGGTATAAAATGCCTCACACCCCTCAAACCAAACCTAATTTGATATGAGTAACAAACTCGAATAGAACATTTTAACTATATCCATATTTTAAAATAAAAATTGACATACATCTGTTATTTTTTATTTAACTCAAAATACATTTACAATACCTAATAAAGCCCCTCTCTCTCTTCCCACGCGGCTCAGCACCCCATCTCCTCCCACTCTCTCTTTCTCTCTCTCTCTCATATGTCGTCCCCCAAGCCCCCCTTTTTTTTTTTCTTTTTTTTTTTTCTTTTAACATATTTATATTTAATAAATGATTAAATCCAACTCTCTCTCTCTTTTCTCTCTCATATGTCGTCCCCAAGCCCCCCTCTTTTTTTTTTTCTTTTTTCTTTTTGAACAAATTTATATTTAATAAATGATTAAATCCAATTATAGTGGAATAATTATGGAGGCTATAACGGTGGTTATGGCAGGTGGCGACGGCTATGGTGGCGGTGGTTATGATAGGTGGCGACGGCTATGCTGACGACGACATGGGACTGTGCGGCGGGGGCTGTGGTTATGGTTGAAATGTTATTGAAAGCACATTTTGAATAATTAATTGCATCTGATTTTCTTTTTGTTTAATAGAATTTGCTTAGTTTGAGTTTAAATGACAGATCTAGGTTTTCTCAATGTTGGTAGGTGACAACGATCGCGGCGGCTGTGAGCGTTGGCTACTAGGGTTTGCGTTGACTGCATGGGTTCGCGACTGTTGGGAGTTGTTGACGGCTAGGGTTTGGTAGTAAAACATAGTACACCGTAGTACACTACAGTACACCGTAGTATGCTATAGTACATTGTAGTATGCCATAGTCTACTACAAACAAATCGAAAATACGTAAATTGAAAAAAAATAAAAACAAAATAACAGTTTTTTATTTTTTTGTGTGTAATTTTCAATATTATGTAGAATTGAAAAAAAAAAAGAAAAAGGAGTTTTTATAGTAGTGTATAAAATGCTAAAATGAATAATGAAAAAAAAAAGGAAAATGAACAGATACTAGTAAACAAAATTAAAAAAAAAAATGTTAAATGAAGATAGGAAATATTAAATGCATAATAAATAAAATGATAAATAAAGTTTGAAATTTACTTAATGTATATTTTGAATTTGGGAATATAGGGACATTTTTGGAATGAATTTTAGATGTGAAGCAAATGTTTAGTTGAGCCTGTCATTTAGTTCTAATAAAATTTGGCACTAGGGACCTATATCCTAAGGCCCCTAAAATATAATACACCTTTTGGAGACAGACTATATGTTAAGCTCAAACTAAAGGTGAAAGTCGGATGAAACGTTTTATAATCGACTTCTTTGAAAAAAATAAGGGCAAATTATACCAACCCTCTGAGGTATGACCAAATTACGAAAAACCCCCCTTCTTTGGATAATTACAGGCACTCTTTTTTAAATATTTTTACATAAAATTTATGTAATTCGGTTATTTACCGAACCAAATCGTATATTCAGTTCGGTAAACGGTATGAAATGTTGGCGTACCAAAATTTCGGTTCGGTTTTACCGATTTAACATCCCTAAATTTATCCATGGAAGGGTATTTTTGTAAGATAATACATAGTTGAGGGGGTGGCTGTAATTAACAAAACATGAGGAGAATTTTCATAATTTGACCATACTCAAGGATATGACCGTAATTTTCCCAAGAAATAATAAAAATTCAAAAACTTTTCTTCTCAATTTTAAAATTACAACTACCTCCCTTCATCTTAGATGTAATTTTATATAGATCCTCTCTAGTTTGAAAAACTTACACAGATCTCCCGTCTAGTTTGATATTAGTTAACACAATTACTTTGACCATGGATTTTCCTTTTTTTTTTTTTACATGAATTTGTCAAATGAGGGGTAGTGCTAATCTTCACTTAAAAAACATACACAATATTAAAAGGGTTAAGTGCAATTTGCTCCCCGTACTTTGACCATTTTTGTACATTAACCCCCGAATAAAAAAAAGTTACACGATCATACCTGAACTTACTAATTTATAGCACCGGTGACTTAAAAGTCCAATTTTTGACAAAAGTATCCCTTGATCAATTGCACACGTGCGATACACACGTGAGAATGGAGGGGCAATTTGGACAAATCAATAAAAAGTTCACAAACCAAATATAGAAATATTCCTGAAATAGTTCATCTTCTCTAAAAAACTTCAACCTGCGGTGGGCATGTCACAACTCTCGACAACCTTTGTTTTCTCCTATTCTTAGTTTCTCAACTTTTAGCAGAACAACTAAAAAACCAACCATCTCTCTTCTTCTTTCTCTCTCTATCTCTCTCCATCTCTCTCTCTCTCTCCTCTCTCTTCACACAAAACGACCCCAAAAAAATTATAATGTGAGCCAGCTTTTTTCTCTCTCCCGCCAGATATCTGAAGACGACGTAGTTTTCTTCTCGCCGGAATTTCGACCCCTTTCCGTCAATGGGTCGTCATTTCCTCCTACCCAGCATCAACACCGACCCCACCTCCCCACGCCTTTCGCCGGAGCCAACCCGCCCGGGCTCCGCGGCGGAGCTACCGTCGCCGTTCGGCAATCTCGACGGACTCGACCTCGACGACTTCCGCGAAGCCGCATACGAGATTTTCTTCACCGCCTGCAGATCTTCGCCGGGGTTCGGCGGCCGGAGCGTGTTGACGTACCATAACCCCTCCGACAGCGGCGGAGGCGGCGACGGATATGGGTCGGCTCCTGGATCTCCGGTGAAGCCGCCCGGGGTTGGGATGGCGGTGACTAGCCGGGTGAAGATGGCGTTGGGGCTGAAAATGCTGCGGCGCTCCCCGTCTTCACGGCGGACGAGCTCGTGCGGGTCGAACCCGTCTTCCCCGAGCGGGTCGGGGTCCGGGTCGAGCCCCAGGGTCGGGTTCACGGTGCCCCATGCGGGGAGGATGAGGCGGCCGTTGACATCGGCGGAGATTATGCGTCAGCAAATGAGGGTGACGGAACAGAGTGACAATCGTCTTCGTAAAACTCTAATGAGGACACTTGTTGGCCAAGTAAATATATATACATATATAATATATATATATATATATATATATATATATATATATATATATATATATATATATATATATATATATATAATGTTTATGTTGCATGCATGCATGTATAGACATATGTACGATAATGTATTATCATGGAGATTTATTTGGAAAATATTTCAATTTATGTCAAATGTACTTTATAAAAGAAAACCTAAATTTTGAATATACATAGTTTTTGTTTTTTATATATATATTTTAAATGAAGGAATTCGCAGCCAACTATATATAACATGATTGAATTTGATGATCAGATGGGAAGGCGTGCAGAGACAATAATCCTACCTTTAGAGCTTCTACGCCATCTGAAACCATCGGAATTCAACGACCCTCACGAGTACCATCTATGGCAAAAACGCCAGCTCAAAATCATAGAAGCGGGCCTATTGCTCCACCCGTCAATCCCATTAGAGAAATCGGACACGTTCGCCGCTAAGCTACGAGACATCATCGATTCTTCCGAAACAAAAGTAATCGACACCGGGAAGACCTCTCCAACCATGCGAACCCTCTGCAACTGCATCGTCTCCCTAGCGTGGCGGAGCCCCGACGGTGGGACCACGGACATCTGCCACTGGGCCGACGGCTACCCTCTCAACGTCCACATCTACACCGCCCTCCTCTCCTCCGTCTTCGACCTAAAAGACGAAACCCTAGTTTTGGACGAGATCGACGAGTTGATCGAGCTCATGAAGAAAACATGGTCCATGTTGGGGATCAACCGTTCGATGCACAACTTGTGCTTCACGTGGGTTCTTTTCGAGCAGTACGTCCTTACAGGACAAGTGGAGCCCGATCTTCTAGGCGCTTCGTTCGCGATGCTGACGGAGGTCGCGAGCGATGCGAAGAAGGTCGACAGAGATCCCGTTTACTTGAAGATGCTCGGGTGTTGTTTGAGCGCGATCAAGAAGTGGTGCGAGAAGAGGTTGCTCGATTATCACGGGAACTTTAATAGGGGCAATATTGGAATAATGGAAAACATGCTCCCTCTGCTTTTTTCGGCTACCAAGATATTAGAAGAGGATGTCCCTTGTTATGTCACTTCTTCCCAAGAAAAGGGAGAAGCGGTGGTCGATGAGCACTCCACCGGTAATAGAGTCGATCATTACATTCGATCGTCGTTGCGGAACGCATTCGCTAAGGTTCGTGCATGGCTACAACATGTTATATATAAGTTTTTAATTTGTATATATCTAACGCAACTCTCGTTGTTTTATTGATAGATGTTAGAAGATCAAAATGTGAACGGGACGACAAAATACACCGAGGCGCAAGAAGTGAGTGAAGTGCTCATTAAAATTGCACGAAAAACGGAAGAATTAGGTATAAAGGAGAAGGATATTTTCAGTCCCGTTTTGAAGAAATGGCACCCGATTGCGGCTGGAGTTGCGGCCGTGACACTCCACACGTGTTACGGGACTTTGCTTAAGCAATATCTAACGGGGAAATCATCGATCTTGAACGAAACTGTGTTGGTTCTGCAAAGGGCGGGTAAACTCGAGAAGGCTTTAGTGCAGCTCGTGGTGGAGGACTCGGTTGAATGTGAAGACGGGGGCAAGACCATTGTGAGAGAGATGGTTCCTTACGAAGTCGAATCGTTTATAGCGAGACTGTTGAAGCAGTGGATTCAAGAGAGGCTGCAGAAGGGGAAAGAATATCTCCTTCGAGCAAAACAAACCGAAGTAAGTTTTGTTACCTTAAACGAAGTAAATGATCATATGCTGTGGTGGAATTTAAAACGAAATTTTTATATTTCCGCAGAATCGGATCCGAAATTTCCCAATTTCGAAAAATATTTTTCATTCCGAATATTCGGATTCCAATTTTTTCCGAATATTTGGTCCGGTTTTAATTTCTGATTTTTTCCGGTAATTACACTTGCCAATATTATAATGCATTTTATAATTTTGGTTAATAAAAAATGAAAATTTCCGAATACGGCTGATTACGATCAGAAAATTTCCGACTTTGAAACAATTTTTTTTATTCCAATTTCGATTTCCAACTTTTTCGATTTCTTTTGGAAAGGAATTGGAATTTATATTTCACTTCCAAACAACATCGGAATTTTTCCGAAAGCACTAATTCCGTTCTTGCAGACATGGAATCCGAAGTCGAAAACGGAACCGTACGCTCATTCGGCAAGTGAACTAGTCAGCTTTGTAAAGGAAGTTGTGGATAGTTTCTTTGAAATTCCGGTGACTTTATCAGAGAGCTTGTTCTATGATTTTGTCAATGGTTTGGAGAATGTGTTTAGAGATTACATTGCCTTTGTTGCATCATGTGGTAAGAAAAGTGTTTCACACTTTCTTAAATCCTATTTTATACCCCTATATTTACTCTAATTATCAAAAAATCATCATGTTATAAATAATAACAAACCACCCCTACACGATTCAATTCTACCCCAAAAAAGAACTATTTAGGGGTTCGTATGCTAAAAAAAAAGAAACGCATCGTAGGAGTTAGTTTGCTGATATTTATAATACACGATTCAATTCTTAGCAATTCTGTATAATATAGGGTACTAAATGCAATAAATTTAATTTAATTTATTTATTTGGAAAAATACAATTTTCATGCCTTAAATTTGCACCAATGTCACATTTGGTCCCTTATGTTTAAAAAATTCAACATTTTTAGTCTTTTACGTTAAACTAACGGAATTTAGGGTGTGCCTATCACTGCCTTAGCGAACAGACTAACGATAAATTATTAATTTTCGAATTTGCAGGATCAAAACAGAGTTACCTCCCAACGCTTCCTCCACTAACAAGATGCAGCAGAGACTCAAAAATCTTCAAACTATGGAGAAAAGCGGCGTGCAGCGTCGGAGTGGAAGATCGCAACCACACGATCGGCGGCGAAGAAGGAAACAATCCACGGCCGTCGACGAGCCGTGGGACCCAACGCCTCTACATCCGCCTCAACACCCTCCACTACCTAGCCTCTCAGCTCCACTCCCTCGACAAAACCCTAGCAATTTCCCCCAAATTCACGCCGTCCAAAATCCCCTCCGCCGCCGCCAGCCGACGGCAGCAGCAGCAGCAGCCGACGAACGGATCCTTCTTCGAGCACACCCTCTCCACCTTGCAGATCGTCTCCCAGCACGTCTCCGAAGTCGCCGCCTACCGCCTCATATTCCTCGACTCCAATTTCGTCTTCTACGGCAGCCTGTACGTCGGCGGCGTGGCTAACACGCGGATCCGGCCGGCGATCAGGCTGATCAAGCAGAACCTCACGCTCCTCTGCGCGATCGTCGCCGAGAGGGCTCAGCCGCTCGCATTGAAGGAGGTGATGAAGGCCTCCTTCGAGGCGTTCCTCATGGTTCTCCTCGCGGGCGGGGGTTCGAGAATGTTCTCCAGATTCGATCACGAGATGATCGAGGAGGATTTCGACAGCTTGAAGCGCGTGTTCTGCACGTGCGGCGAGGGTTTGATTGTTGAGGATATGGTCGAGATGGAGGCCGAGGCCGCCGAAGGCGTTGTCGGGCTTATGGGACAGAGTACTGAGCAGTTGGTTGAGGATTTCAGCAGTGTGGCTAGTGAAGCCGCCTCCGGCGGTGGCAGCGGGGCTGGCCGGAAGATTCCGATGCCGCCGACAACGGGGCGGTGGAATAGGTCCGATCCGAATACTATATTGAGAGTGCTTTGCTATAGAAATGATCGATCTGCTAATTATTTTCTCAAGAAAACATTTCATTTGGCAAAGAGGAGGCCTATGATCAAAATGATTTAAAATATATATATATTATATATATAATTTTTTTGAAAATAAATGAGAGAGAATGTTGATTTTAATTTAATACATTTGATGTTACTTTTGGTAAGCCAAGAAAAAGATAGAGAGAGATTGGAAGATTGTTCTTGCTCAAAAAAAATTTATCTGTTTATTTTGCTTAGTTTTAGGAGGGAAATTATATTTGTGTTCATATTTCTTTTTCTTTTTTTTTTAGATTTTTTCTTTGTACAAATTTCTGTATTTAATATACTACATTAGATTATATATCATTGTAAAATGATCAAGGGTCGAGTTGCTACAAAAGTACGCTATTTCACCCGGTGTAGTATGGAATAAACCATTTTTTAGTCAATCCATTGAATAAATGTGAGAGTGTTTCTTTTTTTTAAATTCAAGAATCATCCCAAATCATTCCTCTCTTTTTTCTGTGATATATATATATATATATATATATATATATATATATATATATATATATATATATATATATATATATATATATATATATATATATATATATATATATATATATATATATATATATATATATATATATATATATATATATATATATATATATATATATATATATATTATAAT